AGCTGTGTCAGGGGAAGTTCAGACTGAACATTAGGAAAAGGTTCTTCGATGAGAGGATGACTGAAGTGGTCATGGCACCAAGCATGTCAGAGTTCACGGAGTGTCTGTCTATGGTTCCATGATCTCTCCCATTTTAGCAGCGGCAGGAAGGCACCCATTTGCATCTAATCAGCCCTGGGTAAGGAAGGTGAGAGTTTTCCCTCCTGAAGCTCCAGGAGGTTAAGTGCATGCTTAGATCCTGAGATGAGATTCAGCATGCCCTGAAGAGCATTTGCTCCACTATGGAAAGGGAGCCTCCTTGATTCCCTGCACAAAGGGTCTGCCATGCAAGCAGGAGGAACCACTAACCACTTAAACCCTGCCTCTGCCCACTAGCTCCTTGCCTGCCCATGGGACCTCTGAAGTGTGGTGGTCAGATAAAGCTGCTTTTATGCACCAACAGTAGACTCCTAACTGTGGACGGTGGAGGTCATTTATCTTGGGAGAAAAATATCAGCTGTGCACTGACCTACACAGGGACCTTGTGGCTGTGTCAGTAAACATGGCTGTAGAGAAGGGGTGGGGACACCAGGCAGGGTTTGGCTCTGCAGACACAAGGAAATGGAATGAAGCTATATCAGGGGAAGTTCAGACTGGACACCAGACAGGACCTCACTTCACTTCAAAGAGCAGGGAGTTGGACTAGATGGTCTTTATGGGTCCCTTCCCACTTGGGATATTCTGTGCCATACATGGGCTTTATTTCTTTATAAAGCACTGCTTTGCCGTGGTTAGGAAGGTGCCATTTTCCAGTCAGTAACAGCTACTGACAGTGCAGCATTTGCTGTGGATCTTCCTATCTGGACTCCTGGAAAAGCAAAGAAAAATTTGTCACAGAATCATTCTCTACATTTACTTCAAGTGAGCTTAGCAACTTCTTATGGGTTTAGAATACATCAGCACAATAGAATATTGTTGATATTACCATTAATTAGCCAGTGCCTACATTGTTCCTACAGCAGGAACCATGCTGGCAGGAGAACAATTTTCTTTTTAATATAATTTAGCAATGCAGTTGCAAAACCATTTGTACTTAGTGATTTACTCTTTGGCACTACAGGGCACCATGTAACTAGTTTGTATTGTTCTTGGGGGGAAAAAGTCACCCATGCAGGGAATTTCATGAGGATGGAAACTCAAACTCCTTCAGTTACAAAGGAGCTTTAAATATGCAGTTGCATGCAGATGTTCTTTCACGTGCTTTTCTTCCCAGCTTACCTGAATCACAATCCCACCAAAACCAAAGCCCCGACTTGCAAAGTTAAAGGGGCAAAACTTCCCACAGAAGACATCTGCTCTCTGAGTCCTCTTGATGATGTGGACCCCTGCATGATCAGGAATGGGAAGAATGTGACTCCAGCATATCCCATCTGCAGACTTCCCAGGAGAGATGCCAAGATTGCACCTAGCCATGTGAGTAACATTCCTCCAGCCATTCATTCAGCCAAGATAAACACGCTTTCTTTTTGCCCTCCATTAGTGGGTACAAAACAATCAGCTCACTCATGGAAAGAGCTGTAGATGTTTCCAGACAGCTGGCAGCTGTCTGTAGCTGTTAAGGAGAGACATCTCTTCGTGAAATTGCTTCCTTGGCTTGAGAAAAGGGCCAGAACTTTTTCTCAAGCCTGCTTCTGTGTTGGTCTCCTCTGCCTTAGGTGACTATTCCACTGGGAAGTACAACAGATACAGGGCTAGTTCAAAGCCTACGCAGCAGGACACAATTGTTTCCTGACAAGCTTCCTTTATGTTCCATAGGAGCTTGATAATATTACACTATTTCTGGCTTTGCTTGGGAGACAGGGGAGACCAAAGCCCTCATATCACAGCTTGGCATGGCAGCTTGAAACATGTGTGATGGTCACAGACACAGCTATCTTGGGCTATAAACTGTGCAAACCCCAGCAGAAATCTCCTTTCTAAACCACTCTACTGTTTTGCTTTAATCCCAGCCAGCAACGTAGCCCAGTACAACCGCTCGTTCACTCCCACCCAGTGAATCAGAAGGGTAAAAGTGAAAAACTCATGGGTTGAGGTCATAGGTAAAGCAAAAGCTGCTTGTGCAAGCAAAACCAAATAAGGAATTAATTCACTGCTTCCCATCAGCATGCAGGTGTTCAGCCATCTCCAGGAAAGCCAGACTCCACCACGCAGAGTGGTGACTTCACTCCCAAAGTTCTCCCCTTGGTCCGTCTTTCTCCCAAGCAGAGGACAGTTCATAAACTGAAGATCAGGGGTTTGAACCCAATCTGTGCCTTCCTCCCAATTTGTTTATTCACCTTGAGCTCTAGGGAGCTCCGTCACAGCCTGACTCCAAACATCAGCCCTTTGACTGAGGCAGTGATGTCTAAAGAAAAAAATTAAAAGTTTATCAAGAAGTTTCATCTGGGGCATGGTTGAGGCACTGAGGAATGTACCTGACCTTGAATAGGATGTGAAACAAAAGAAATATATCTTATGTGTTCTTTTGGAATTGCTGACTTAGACTTGATAGCAAAAAATAGAACTTCTGGAACAAATTCGAGCCAAAAGTGTCTCCTAAACTAACCTTGGGTAATTATAATGCTAAAGTACACCCCCCCCCGCCCCCTTTGAGAATAATGAGCATGCTAATCAGGAAATTTCCCTCAATGTTTTCAACATGAGTTCTAGATGCATATATATAATTAGGAGTGTTGAATGAATCATTATTGACCAATCAGCCCAGCTGTTCTTTACTGTTACAAATATTGGGTGGTTTGAAACATGAAGTGTACTGGCTGTTGTTAAATGCCTGGCACCCAACTCTGCAGAACTGAAATAAAGATCTCGACTCAGTGTGTGGATTGGCTCTTGCACAGTGGATGGAGAACCCTCATTTAGGAACAATATCAGGGGCTGCAGGAAAAGGCTCAAAGAAGGGCTGTAGTCTTGGGAGAGAATTTATTTTTAAAAAGTCCTGCCTTTTTTCAGGGTATTTGTTTTATCATGTGACAGCAGGAGAGGTGAATTCCTAGGACATTCTTTTAGAAGCACTGAAGGATCTTGTGCTGGGCATGCTCAAGAATGTCAAGGTTTAATTGTCACGTATTGATTCTGAAGGCACACACAATCTGCCCACAGGTTTGCCTGAAGAAGCCAATGATGCAGTCAAAGTTGCTGAGCATGTGTGCGAGCACCGGGGACCAGACAGATGCTGCTGGTCTGGCCTCCAAGGGTGAGCAACTGCATGGACCATCTCCTGCTGTCACTCTGCTCACCTGTTTCAGGGACTGCTGTCATCGTTCCTCTCTGTGCTCAGGATCTCCCACGCAGTACCTACATTGCTTGTCCTCCATGGCAGGAGAGCCCTTGATCAGTCAGAGTGGGCTGTGCTCCTTGTCCTGCACAGGGAAGGAGGGTGTCCCCATGCAGGAGCAGGGGCTCCTTGGGAGGGAGGGCCTCCCCACAGCCCCAAAGGCAGGGCAGTGCATTCCTGCTGCCTTCACCCCTGCCTGGCCAAGGATTCTGGGATATGGGATGGAGGAACACGCAGAGGACTGGGATAGAAAAAACCCAATGAATCATCCATGGCCCCGTGTGTGCTGGGGGAAGCTGAGGGCTGGATCTGGGGCGGGGGGCACAGAGGGAAGCCTGGAGGGTGCTTGGCATAGGGGGCTGGACGGGCCCAGGGGCTGCTGGAGGGATCTGGGGGATGGGTCTGGGGGATGCACCTGGGGACTCCCCGCAGCTCTCTCTCTGACCCCTGCCAATCTCACTCCTTGTCTCCCTGGCACCCAGTGACATTAGGTGCAGTACGGGTGGCCACTGGTGGGATGCTCAGGCACGGTAAGGCCGGGGCTGCTGGGGGTCCTCGCTGGGCGTCCAGCTGTGAGCGTGGGTCTGCAGGACACCATCTTGGCCTTGCACCTTGGGGTGAGGGCATGGGGGCATGTGGGGAGGAAGAAGGGACCTGTGGGGACAGAGGCGGAACAGGTGGGGCTGTGGAAGGGGAGCAGTGAAGGGGCAGCTTGGGGTGAGGAAGGAGGCCAGCAGCAGGGCTGGGGATAGGGAGTGGGGTGGGGAGAGGGGTGTAGGAGGGGAGGGAAGGGGACAGGGGTGGGGTGGGAAGGAGGATGAGGAGGTGTGCGAGGGCGAGCGCCAGGGTGGAAAGGTAAGGGAGTGCCCCTTGCCCATGGGGTCACACAGGAGGACAGGAAGGCCAGGCTGGGGCACCCTGGCCCATAGCCACAAGTGCTGGTGGAATTTGGGTGGGAGCAAGGCCATCTTCCTGGCTGCAGGTGGGGTCCCTCATGGCCATGGCAGCACCCTGTCACCTTGGGCGGTGTAGGTGACCCAACCCCTCTTTCCTACCCCTGGTGCAGGTGGGTTGCTGCCTGGCTGTGGGCTGCATCCAGTGTCCCTGATGGGAATGTTCTTTGCTGCCACTTATGCCCAGAGAGCCTGGCCCCGCGTGGCATCTCTGTCTCCTCTGTGCTATTGCCCCCAGCACTAAACCAGGTGGATTTGCCCCAGTATGGCTGTATTTCCCATGAGGGAGGCAAATGCCATTCCCACAGCCCACCATGTGCCTGACATCCCCATGCACAGAGCTGTGTGCTGGCCTCATGCCTGTTGTCACCATCCTCTGGTCTCAGGGACCAGAATCTGGTGGAGAGGTGCTGATGTGCCCCCAGAAGTGCGTGCAGGGGGAAGATGGCCCTCATTCAACCTGTTGCGCCACTCCCCCAGCCTGCATTGGCACTGACTGAGTCCTGCTGTTTTGTAGGGAGCCTGGTGCCCCCCAGGGTTAGTGGTTGGAGCAAGGGACACCCCGTTGGTGTTGGGGGGCTGTCCCAGCGTTTCACCCTAGGATGAGGAGTGTGAGCATGTCTCTGTGCTGCACCTGGAGCTCTCCCCATCTGTCCTGGGGTGGGCAGGAGCTGTGTGATTCCATATGCTTGTGGGCACTGGGCATGGCATACAAGGAGTTCCTACATGCGTGGTGGTGTTAATTAGCTTTTTATTATCAGGGAGATGTCAGCAGGCAGTGTGACCTCAGGGCATCCTTGGTGTGGTGTGTTCTGTGCTCTCAGCTCCTGCAGGAGAGGAAGAGGTGAGTGAGACTGGCCAAGGGCAGGCAGACCTGGCCAGGCCACTCCCGTCAGCCATGGCCTGGAGCTGATGGGGCTGGTGCAGCTGGGTGAGAAGGAGACCTCACCTGCACCTGTAGTGCCAGATGGCTCCAGCAAGGGCTGCAACAATGACCAACAGCACCACAAGGGTGATGCCGACACTGAGAGCTACCGTGGAGCTGCCTGGAGGAGAGAAGAAAGAGAAAGATTGTGGGTGCACAGGAGGCCATGGCTGGAACGGCCATTGGAGCCTGATCCACCACCCTCCAGACATCGGCATGGGGCCAGAAGACTCTGCATGCACCCTGCACTCCATTCCCATGGATGGCACCTACCCCATGGGATGAGGAGGCTGTGGGTGCCCAGGCTGCGGTGGCGCACACGGCAGGCGTAGCTGTGCCCATCATGGGGGGCCACAGCCAGGACGCTGCGGAGCTGGTAGGTGAGGTCAGCGTTGGGCAGGATGGCACTGGTGTTGAGGGCCGGGCCCGGTGGCACCTCCTGGCCATCCCGCAGCCAGGACACGCTGATGGGCCGTGGGTAGAAGCCGGTGACATGGCAAACCAGGAGGAGCTGGTCTGGTCTGGGCGTGCGGGCGAAGACCGTGGCCACGGGCAACACTGGGATGTGAGAGCAAAAGGGGTAGGAGGAGCCCCGGTGGGGCACTGCTTGTCCCCAGTGTTGGGGAGGCGTTGGGGTGGCCATGGATCAGGGTGGTCTCACCTTGTCTCTCCAGATCAGCCCTCCCGTACTCGATGAATTTCTTCATGTGGTCAATACAGGTGACATTGAGAAGGTACTGCAGGGTTGCAGTGAAGCCAACGAAGGTGTTGAACTGACTCTCTACTTGTGCCGCCAGCTCACTCTCCTGCTGTTTCTCCCAGTGGCTCTTGTCCACGTCAAAGCTGAGGAAATTTTGGGCATTGTAGGCAAGATGGTAGAATTTGGTATAGGAGCCGTTGGGAACTGAGGATATTGTGGGCATTGTAGGCAAAATGGTAGAATTTGGTATAGGAGCCGTTGGGATACAAGTCACAGCCGGCCGCGCCCTGGATCACGAAGGGGTCTGAGGGGAACAATAGGCATCATGAGTGCAGCTGGACCTGGGGCACAAAATTGCACCTGCTTGTTTGTGCTTCTTTTCCCCTTCCCTCTGCACCCTCAATCCTTCTCTGATACAAGTCACAGCCGGCCGCGCCCTGGATCACGAAGGGGTCTGAGGGGAACAATAGGCATCATGAGTGCAGCTGGACCTGGGGCACAAAATTGCACCTGCTTGTTTGTGCTTCTTTTCCCCTTCCCTCTGCACCCTCAATCCTTCTCTCCAGGGTGAAGACATGAAAGGCTAAAGCGCAATTATAGTTGAAATTGGCCAGTGTTGTGTCAGGCAACAAGAAGGGCTTTTTTTTTTTAAGTACATTAATAGCAAGAGGAGGTCTAAAAATTACATTGGACTCATTGAAGATGGTCACCTGACTAATAGGAATAAAGACAAAGTGGAGGAATTAAATGCTTTTTTTTTGCCTTAGTCTTTAATAATACTGATAGACCTTGGGCTGCCCAGTCCTCTGAGTCAGAGGACCACAACTGTGGAAAGAGTGACTTTCCATTTGTGGACAATGAAATTGCAAGGAACCAGCTGTGTCCACTGAATGTTCACAAGTCATTTGGGCCTGATGGGATTCACCCCAGAGTTCTGACGGGGCTAGGGGATGTTATGTCAGGAAACCTCTTGATCACCTACCAAAAGTCTTAGAAGTCTGGGGAGGTCTCTGGTAATGGCAAGATAGCCAACGTTGTCTTAATTTACAAGAAGGGTGTGAGAGAAGACTCAGGAAACTACAGACCTGTTAGTCTACCATCAGTACCCGGAAAAATGATGGAGAAGTTCCTACTGTGTGCTACTGAAAGGCATTTAAGGAACAATGCAATTATCAGGCACAGTCACTATGTGTTCACAAAGGGAAAGTCCTGTAACTAATTCGATATCCTTTTACAATAAGGTCACCCACCACAGCATGCTTCTGGACAAGTCGTCCAACTGTGGGGTGAGCAAGCTCATGGTGCGCTGGGTGAAGAACTGGCTGAAGGCAGAGCTCAAAGGGTTGTAGTGAATGGGGCTACCTCTGGCTGGCAAACAGTCAGCAGCAGTGCTCCTCAGGGCTCAATCCTAGGGCCGGTGTTGCTCAATATTTTGATTGGTGATCTGGGTGCAGGAGTTGAATGCACCATTAGTGAGTTTGCTGATGATACAGAACTGGGAGGTGCTGTTGACCCTCTTGAAGGACAAGAGACCTTGTAGAGGGATCTAGATAGATTGAAGCACTGGGCAATCATCAGTGGCATGAAATTTAACAAGAACAAATGCCAGATTCTGCACCTGGGAGAGAGTAACACATGACACAGATATAGACTGGGAGGGGCGTAGCTGGAGATCAACAGTGCAGAAAGGTATCCAGGGGTACTGGCTGACAGCAGGCTTGGTTTGAGTCAGCAGCATGCCCTGGGAGGAAAGAGGGCAAACCACATCCTAGGGCTCATCTAACACAGTATAATGGTGGGTCAAGAGAGGGGATTATCCTGCTGTATTTAGTGTTGGTGGGGCCTCATCTTGATCACTGTGTGCAATTCTGGGCCCCACCATTTAAGAAGAATGTGAAGGTCCTTGAATGTGTCCGGAGGAGGGCAACAAAACTGGTGAAGGGGCTGGAAGACATGTCCTATGAGGAGCGGCTGAGGACTCTGGGCTTGTCCAGTTTGGAGTAAAGGAGGCTGAGGGGTGACCTCATCGATCTCTACAGCTTTATGAGGATGAGGAGAGCGAGGTGTTGAGCTCTTCTTCTTGGGATCCAGGGACTTGATGCATGGGAATGGTTCAAAGCTGTGTTAGGGTAGGTTCAGACTTGACATTAGGAAACTTTTCTTTACAGAGGTGGTCAATGGCCCAAGCCTGTCTGTGTTTAAGTGGCATTTGGACAATGCCCTTAGTAATTTGCATTAACTTTTGGTCAGCCAGCAATTGGTCAGGCAGTTGGACTAGATGATCATTGTAGGTCCCTTCCAACTGAACCAAACGATTCGATTCGATTCGATTCTATTCTATTCTATTCTATTCTATTCTATTCTATTCTATTCCATTCCATTCCACTGCTCTGCTTTATGCCAGGTAGAAACAGTGGGTGAGAAACCTGTCCTGAGCCCTGTAGCTCATTGTCCTCAAGCTGCCCTTGCCCACAGCAGCGTCTGGACCCATGGCCAAGCAGGAAGCACTGCTTTGAGGGAGTGGTGGGACATGGGGTGCGGGAGAGTAGGAGGACTGTGACACCCTGCCCTTGGTTAACCAGCGCTGTACCAGCGTGTGGGGCCAGGTGCTTGCTCTGTATGTCCCATCCTACAGATGGGAGCAGAGAGGCCGGCCCCTTTGACTTCTTTTGGTGGGATTTGGGGTGTTCAGAGAGCACAGGGGGGAGCTGGTGTGAGGGCATAAGTGGAGCTAAATGCAGTCAAAGTTTGTGCTGGGGACCAGGATGGCCCCGTGTGACCTCCACACAGGATGGGGTGGTTTGGAGGTCTTGCTGGTGCAGGATGAAGCCCCAGTCCCTGCCCTCCTGCCAGCCCCAGTTTGGGAAAGCTGTTGGTGGTGGCTCTGAGCTCGTTCTCACAGGTCCCTGTTGTAGATAAGGAGGTGCTGTGCACCTGGTACTCACGGGGTGTCTGGGACTGTGTGGCATCATGGGACAGGGACAGGATGAAGTTGTGCTCATAGATCTTGAACAGGTTCTGCAGGTTCTCCCACTCTGCTGCAGGGAGGGCTGGGTAAACCCATGGGTATAGGTAGAGGATGTTCCTGGTGTATTTATCCAGGGTAGCAAAGACGATGTCCTGCAGGGTGGCCCGTGCCAAAATGTCCACAAAGCTGGTGTTGTGGATGACTGCGGCTTCAAAAAGGTGGAGTTTATAAGAGTCTGCAGGGAGAGGAAGGGAAAGGAAGCGGCGTTGAGGCACATGAGGGTGAAGGAGGAGATCAGGGGACTGGCAGTGGCAGTGCTGGTGGGCAACCCCGGGAGGAAGGGTGGCTTGTAGTTTCCCTGGGGACAGGCATGGCAAGACGGGGCAGATAGGCAGGGTGGGGGAAATCCCCTGGTTTCACTCAGTTTGCAGTTTCCTTCAGCAGGCTCTCTAAGCCTTTCCCTGCTTCTCTTCTAATTTCCTTTTTTTAGCCATCCACCTCCCCAATATCCGTCCCTCTCCCTAAGCTGTCACTTAGCTGCATGGAAGGGATGGCAGGGAGGACCTTGGAGCTGGTTTGGGGTGATGCGTCCCCCAACAAGGAGCACCCATGCCGGGACCCAGATCCACTGGAGACCTGCACACATTGCTGGGGCTGGGGGGCTGGGAGGAAAGGGCATTTCACCCTAGTTCAGGGGCTCCTGGGCAGTGCTCAAGGCCAGACCCTAACAGGAGGCAGAAGGCTGAGTTCAATGCTGCAGTGCTGAATGAGGCTCTGGTGGTGAGCAGGGCAGAGTGAAGCCTGTTTTGGAGCAGTGTGTGTCCCCCTGGGCCAGGGCACAGTGAGCGTCTTGCCCTGGGATGAGAAACACGGGCTAGGGATGCAGGGCTTATTGTAGCTGCAGGAGGGACCTGTGAGCGTTGTTTCCCAGGGGGAGAATGCAGAGGATCCAGGGACCCTTTGGAGCACCCGAGCACCCCAGGCCTGGTTTAGGGACCCCCTTCCCCCATGGCTGTTTAGGTGCCTGAACCCCAGCACCAGTAGTGCTGAGCTGGGCAGGATGGTGTGGGACAGGAAACCCGAGCGGGTCGACAAGGAAGAGGCACCTTTGGGTGCTGTGGGGTGGAGGTGGGGCATGGCCCCTTGGTGATAGGGACAGTGGCCTCTCTGTGCCCACTCCCTGCCACTTCTGTGGGGTCCTGCAGTGCAGTGATGGGAGCAGGTGGGGATGAGCCAGGGCTCTGACTTACCCTCTGGGTCTGCCCATGTCCCAGGAAGGAGGAGGAGAAGGAAGAGGAGGAGGTGGTGGCAGCGAGGGGGCTGCATGGTGCCGGCAGCAAGTGTGCAGGAGCAAGTGCAGCAGGATGAGAATGGGGCCACGGAAGCTGTGAGCACACACTTCTCCCCAGGGCTGTTCTGCCTGGACAGCTCTGGCGGTGGCAGCATCATAGGGTGGCATCAGTAGCCAATGAAGCTGCTGCTGAGGTTTTGAGGAGGGCCTGGTTGGGTGTGTTCCCCAGGGGGACATCAGCCAATGAAGCTGCTGCTGAGGTTTTGAGGAGGGCCTGGTTGGGTGTGTTCCCCAGGGGGAAGTGGTGTGGCTGGTGGAGGGCTAGGCTGGAGTGCTCTGGCCAGCAACTGTGAACACTAGGGAATTTGGGTGGGTGCAAAGTCATCCCTCCTGGCTGCAACAGCACCCTGACACCCAAGGAGATGTAGTCTGACTCTAGTCAATAGTGACCTTCACCTTCTCCCGTGGTAGCCCCCAGGGCTTTACTCTGTAGACCCCTGGCAGTGAGTATTGGGTTTATGTGGCAAGGTTTTGGTAGCAGCAGGCTTGCTGGGGTGGCTTCTGTGAGAAGCTGCCAGAAGCTGCCCAATGTCCAACAGAGCTAGTTCCAGACAGTTGCAAGACAGACTCACTGCTGGCCAAGGCTGAGCCAGTCAGCAATGTTGGTAGTTCCTCTGTGATAACATACGTAAGAAGGGGTAAAAACTGCTGCGCAACAGCAGCTGGGAGAGGGAGGTGAGAATATGTGACAGAAACAACTATGGAGACACCGAAGTCAGTGAAGAAGGAAGAGGAAGAGATGGTCTAGGCATGGTGCCCGTGCAGCTCATGGTGAAGGACCATGGTGGAGGAGATACTTATCTGCAGTCCATGGAGGACACCATATTGGAGCAGGTGGATGTGCCTGAAGGAGGCTGTGACCCCATAGACAGCCTGTGCTGGAGCAGGCTTCTGGCAGGACTTGGGACCCCATGAAGGACCATTGCTGCAACAGTCCATTCCCAGAAGGACTTCACCCTGTGGAAAGTACCCATGCTGGAGCAGTTCATGAAGAACTGCAGCCCATGGGAAGGACCCATGCTGAAGAAGATCGTGAAGGACTGTCTCCTTTGAGTGAATCCCCATGCTGGAGCAGGGTGAGGAGGAAGGAGTAACAGAGAAAATGCATAATAAACTGACAGCAGTCCCCATTCCCCATCGCGCTGTGCCACTGGAGAGGAGGAGGCAGAGAAGTCAAGAGTGAGGTTGAGCCTGGGAGGAAGGGAGGGATGGGAGGAAGATGTTTTTAGGTTTGTTATTTCTCATTATCATATCTGATTTTGGTTGGCAATGAATTAGATTAATTTCCCGAAGCTGAGTCTGTTTTGCCTGTGATGATAATTGCTGAGTGATCTCCCTTATTCAGAGGGTGACTGCCCCCCACCCCTCCAGCTTTTGCAGGGGCAGGAGTCAGGAGTGGAGGAGATCCCAACCCAAACCCATCCTGGACAGAGGGTGAGATCAGCACTGGAGCCAGGGCAGCTTTGCACCTGCTCAAAATGCCTCCAAAATGCCTCAGGGAATTGGAGATGTCACTTGGCTCCTCCCTTCCCCTTTCTCCTCAGCAAAACAGCTCAAACCACTCCATCTTTTCCTGGTTTGTGGGCTGCTCCATCCCCCATGCCAATTAGCAGCCCCACACTGGTCTGGCCCCAGGTTGTCACTGCACTTCTGCCAGGGACAGATACTGGCCACAGAGATGCCGAGATGTGGGAGAGGTTGGTGGAGGAATTGTTTCTCCTGACATGCCAGGGACATCAGCCAGTGTCCAGGAAAAGGGAGAGTCTTCCTGGTTGCAACGTGGGGACTCTGCAGAGTGCTCGGAGCTTTTCTGGGGGGACCTCCTGAGGGGGAATGAGGGTGAGAAACATAGGAGCCACTTGTAGATGGGGAAGTTTGTAGCTGTTTAATGCAGTGGCTTTCTAGAGCAACACCTGTCAGTACTGATAGGTCAGGGATGGGAGATGAGATGAGCCATGGAGAGCTGGTGGCAAGGGATCTCATTGCTGGGCAGGCAGCAATGCTTCAAATGATGAAATCCTGGGTCTCCCACGTGGCCTCATCACCTTTCCTGCAAGGGGGTCCACTGTGAGCTGCACTTGGGGCCAGGCAGTTCATCGCTGCAGAGCTGCTGCTGCTGCAATCCCTGCCCTGATCCATCTCCCCATAACCCTGAGAGGAGACAGTGGGAGGAGGACCTCACCTGCGCTTCCACCACCAAAACCCTCCAGCAGAGGCTGTGGCCACAAGGAGCAGCACTGCGATGGTGATGCTGACGGTTGGAGCTGCACTGCGGTTTTCTGGGACAGGGAGAGAAGAGGGTGGTCATGTGAGTGTGGCAGCACCAGGCAGGAGCTGCCCCTTGCAGGGCCAGGGGCCTCTGCCTGCCCGCTGTGCCCCAAACCTAGGGTGGCACCTACCCCATGGGATGAGGAGGCTGTGGGTGCCCAGGCTGCGGTGGCGCACACGGCAGGCGTAGCTGTGCCCATCATGGGGGGCCACAGCCAGGACGCTGCGGAGCTGGTAGGTGAGGTCAGCGTTGGGCAGGATGGCACTGGTGTTGAGGGCCGGGCCCGGTGGCACCTCCTGGCCATCCCGCAGCCAGGACACGCTGATGGGCCGTGGGTAGAAGCCGGTGACATGGCAAACCAGGAGGAGCTGGTCTGGTCTGGGCGTGCGGGCGAAGACCGTGGCCACGGGCAACACTGGGATGTGAGAGCAAAAGGGGTAGGAGGAGCCCCGGTGGGGCACTGCTTGTCCCCAGTGTTGGGGAGGCTTTGGGGTGGCCATGGATCAGGGTGGTCTCACCTTGTCTCTCCAGATCAGCCCTCCCGTACCTGCACAGAGTGAGGATGTGGCTCTGGCAGGAGTTGGAGAGGAGATGCTCCAGGAGAGCTGTGATGGCCTTCTTTCTGTTGATCGACTTGCTGACCTGCTCTGCTAGTGTGGATGGCTGCCGGGGCTCCCAGCGCTGCCTCTCTACCTCAAAAGCTATGAGGTCTCTGCCGCCCTCCCCAATATCCAGGAAGCCCCAGCTTGTTCTGTTGGGGTACAGCACGCAGCCTGCATGGATCTGGACCACCAATGGGTCTGCCAAGGGCAGAGCCAGGGAAGAAGTCCCATGAGTGTGTGAGACATGGGTGGCAGGACGCAGGATTTGGCTGACGGCACATGCAAGGGTGCGATAGGCAGTGGGGTGAGGCAGGGAATGGGGCCATACTTCAAGAAGTCCCGGGACACCCTGCACAGCCTCAGTCCCTTTGGAAGGCTGGAGTGGATACGGGGCCAGTTGCTGAAACAGAATGTTGTCCCCCAGAATATTTCCCCCCAACTTTTCTTTGCCTAATCTGTGTTATGCCCTGGTAAATTTGGTGGCAGCTCGGCAGTGTGAAGAAGGGTTCCCCTGTGCCAGATGGCAGGAGCCATGAGGGTTCTTTTTGGTGTGCTGCCCTCCCCACCCCTGCTAGCCTTGTGCCCTGTCACCCACAGCATTTCCCGTCACCCTTTCAGAAGCTGTTGCACCCAGTGAGCCCCCATAAATGCCACCCTGGTGGGGAGGAAGGCACAGTTGGAACACAGGAAAAGTGGCTGGGGCCCTGGCAGGGGTTGTCCGTTTACTCACAGTCCAGTTTCTCCTGCTGGGCGACTTCATGCACATATCGGACCATACTTCGCAAATAGATTTTTAAGTGGGACTTGATCTTCTCCGCATCACCTTCAGATGCCGCCTGGCGGGACCACGGCCAGTGGAAGTGGATGCTCCAGTTGGCAGGATCCAGTGCATAGATGGGCACATCCCCCAGAAGAACCACCCCAGACACCTCGGCAGAGCTGACATTCGTGAAGAGGATGGTCTGGAGCATCTGGAAAACTTGCATATCTGCTGGGAGAGAGGATGGGGATGGAAAGGGCTGCAAGAAAGTGGAGAGGAGTGGGGGGGGGGGGGGAGGAAGGCATTTTTTTACACTGAGGGTGGTGAAGCACTGGCCCAGGTATCCCAGAGAGGTGATAGGTGCCCCATCCCTGGAAACATTCAAGGTCAGGCTGGACAAGGCTCTGAGAGACCTGATCTATCTGAAGATGTCCCTGTTCATTGCAGGGGAATTGGACTAGATTTAAAGGTCCCTTCTAACCCAAACCATTCTATGATTCCACACTCTTCACTCCACACCACAGGGACCCCCATCAGCCCGCATGCAGCCCTGCCTGGGCAACCCTCAGCCAGTCTTTGCTGGATTCTCACCTCCTCACCTGCTTAGGGTTGCTTTCCTGTCTTAACTTCCTCTGTCCCAGATGCTCTTTGTCCTTCTCTAGTTTACTTTCAATGAGGCATTTCTCTCCCGTACAGCATTTCAGGCAGCTCATCCCCTCACTGCCTGCCATCTGGCTTGTGAGGGCAACTCGGCGCTTGTTTGGGGTCATGCTTCCCCCAGAAAAAGCACCCGTGCCAGGACCTGGACCTGCACCTGGCAAGGGGGGTGTGGAGGATGGGGAACGGGGGCAAAGGGCATTTCATCCAGGTTCTGGGGGCATTGGGAGCTCAAGAAAGCCAAACCCTGACAGAAGGAGGAGAGTAGCCCAGCCCAAAGATCAATCCCATGTTCCAGTGTCTGCTGCTGCTTCTCCCCACCCAGAAAAATGAGGTCTTACGGGACTGAGGTGAAATGCTCTGTGCAACGGCAGCACCCAGAACACCCTCTCACAGGTGCAGCTCCCCAAAAAACAGGGGGCTGCTGGAAGGGGCCCACAAAACCACATGGAACTGAGACCCCCCCCTCTAGCACCCAAGGGCTCCCTGTAGGAGGAAGGCACCTTTGGGGGAACCCCAACACCCCAGGCCTTGCTGAGGACCCCTGGTCCCACGTCTGCTTTTGTGCCTGAGCCTCCATACTGGAGCTGGTGGGACATGAAGCTCAGAACTGGAGGTAGGAACAGAGAGGGTGGGCAGCAACAGGGCACCTTTGGGCACAGCAGCACAGTGGAGGCTGGACCTTTGATGCTGGGGATCTTCCCCCCCATGCAGGGGACAGTGGCCTGGCCATGCCTCCCTTCCCTGAGGAACTGGTGGGGTCCTCTCCCAGGGAGGTGAGAGTGGTTGGGGTGAGCCAGGGCTCCCACTTACCCTCTAGGTCTGCCCACATCCCAGGCAGAAGGAGGGGGAGAAAGAGGAAGAGGAGGAGGTGAGGGGACTGCATGGTGCGCGCGGCAAGGCTGAAGCAGCAGCAGCAATGACTGCAGGAGGAGGAAGCACCCCTGGGGTCCCAGCTTCCCCCCAGCCCAGCAGTCACAGCGGTGGCTCTCCACCAATGAGACCAGTGCAGACGTGTTGGGGAGGGGCCCTGCGGTCCCGAGCTGGGGGATGTGTGGGAGGGAGGAAAGCTGAAATAAGGTCTTGAGCCTGAAGTGCTGGGACAGGCTGGGACTGGGGAGAGCCCAGCCAGGAGGAGAGGACAGGGAAAGGGAGGCCCAAGAAATCACAGTAGGAGAAAATGGGTGCTCAAAGACCCAAGCTGGGTCCCCCTGACTCCTCCTCCCCACTGAGGGTACCTCTCTTCCCCATCCCAATTCTTGTAGGATGGATCAGCTCCAATGGTGGTGACGATGACCTTTGGATTTCAGCCCTGACTGGAAAAAAGATGGCCGCTGTCCTCTCAGCCCCACATGGGGAGAACTGCTTTGCGCCCTGCTCCCCTCCCACCCTGGGATCTCCAGCTCAGGCTCCTCCTGCACTGCCTGCCTAACCCAGGCTCCCCAGGAAGGAGATGACAAGCAGTTTCTGCCTGGCCCATGGCTGTGGGAACAGTTGGCTGGGGAGCTCCAACTGTCCTGCAAATAGCCCCAGGAGAGGGCCTGGGGCTGGGCTGCAGCTGACACTCCCCTTTCCTTCCCACCACCTTTGGTGGGGAACCCTGTCCCCCTCCCCAAATGCCCCTGGGTGTGGGAACAGGAATGGTGGAGTCCATCTCCTTGCTCTGTCCCCACTGTCCCCACTGTCACCAGTGGAGCCGGTTGGAGGGTCAATGGGGTGACCAGAGCTGGCCTTACCACCACCAGCTGTCCTCTACCCACTGCTCCTCCCCGGCTGGCCCCTGGTGCATCCCCTCACCCTGCAGTTTCTCTTCCCCCTTGCTGGGAGTTCCTGTGTTGGGGTTGAAGGCAGAACTGAAACCACAGCCAAGAGGAAGTTTGAGGAGGCGTGCCCTGGGGACCTCCAAACACTGAACCCCTTCCCTTCCATAGAGCTGTCCCATGAAGAAGTGGAGATGCTGCGGTGGCCTGGCAGGCCCAGAAATGGCACCAATTCCCCAGCAGGTCACCTCGGTATCACCCAGGGAATATCCAGCCATGCCACCACAATGTTTATATCCCTCCCGGCAGGGCCACCAGGGCTGGTGTCAGAGGAGAGTGTTTAGCTGGTGGAATGACATCTCGGTATCACCAAGGGATTATCCAGCCATGCCACCACGATGTTCGTATCCCTCCCAGCAGGGCCACCAGTGCTGGTGTCAGAGTTTAGCTGGTGGGATGACAAAGTGCAGCCATGGTGTGGCCAGAGAGGGAAAGGGTAGGGGGACGTTTGTCCATGCAGTCTTACAAGGTCACCATTTGTCCTCACAGTCCCCTGTAAGATGACTGTCACTTCCTTTTGTCAGCAAATGACCAAAGTGGGCAGGGGGCTGCTTGTCCACACAGACCGTTGGTTCACACCATTTCCTCAGGTGACACTGAGTCTTACAGTCCTCCCAGGACCCAGCTGGTCCTCACATCGTCCTGCCCCCCCCCTCCCCGTTGCCCCCCCAGGTGACTGTAGCACTTTGCAGTAACACGTCATGTGACCATTGGTCCTTGCATACACTGTGAGTCTTCAGTCTCCCCTCAGATGAGAGTCGTAACCCCCTGAGCCCAGAGCCATGCCTGGGTGAGTTGGGGTGAGTTGGGGTGGGGTCGGCAGGGCTTGCAGTGTCTCTGGGTGCTGCACTGCGTGTGTGGGTACCTGCAGCCAGCCATAGGGCTGGGATGAAATGCCTGAAGAGACCTCTCAAACTGCGTGGGTGTTTGTGTGTGTGTTATGTAGGGTCTCTTGGGAGATCATGCACATGACCACCTTTTCTTACCAGGCTTGCTCACCGGCTGCATCTGCTCTCCAGATTTGGTGGGTGAACTTCGTCCTGCCACATGCCATGAGTGCCGCAGGGTGTTTCACTCTATTTGGGAGATGAATTCCCCCATGTGCTCTGTTGATGCTGAGACTGCTGCCAGCCCTGAGGTGAGCCCTACCTGCAGCTGAAAGTTTCTTCCGTCTGTCCTAGCTCAGCAAGGTCTGGGAGAGACACAGCATCCCTCCTCCTGTGGTGAGATCCTTGAGCCCTGCAGTGCTGGCAGGTGGCTATGACTGTCAAAGGAATTTGGTCCTGCCCACAGCACTGTGGTTCACAGGGATTGGCCAGGGGGAAACCTCATGAAGTTCAACCAGGCCAAGTGCAAGGTCCTGCACCTGGGTCATGGCAATCCCAGGCACAAATCCAGGCTTGGCAGAGAATGGATTGAGAGCAGCCCTGAGGAGAAGGACTTGGGGGTGTTGGTGGATGAGAAGCTTGACATGAGCCAGCAACATGCGCTGGCAGCCCAGAAAGCCCCTGCATCCTGGGCTGCATCAAAAGAAGCGTGGCCAGCAGGGCGAGGGAGGTTATTCTGCCCCTCTAGTCTGCTGTGGGGAGATCCCACCTGGAGTACCGTGTCCTCAGCGCAGGAAGGACATGTACCTGTTGGAACAGGTCCGGAGGAGGGCCATGAAAATGATCAGAGGGCTGGAGCACCTCTGTATGAAGGAAGACAGGCTGAGAGAGTTGGGGGGGGTGCTCAGCCTGGGCAGAAGAAGAATCCAGGGGGAGCTTATACTGGCCTTGCAGTACCTAAAGGGGACTACAGGAAAGATGGGGAGGGACTCTTGATCAGGGAGTGTAGCAATAGGAGGAGAGGTAATGGATTTTAACTGAAAGAGGGGAGATTTAGGTGAGATCTCAGGAAGAAATTCTTTGCTGTGAGGGTGGTGAGAGCCTGGCCCAGGTTGTCCAAGAAGCTGTGGCTGCCCCATCCCTGGAGGGGTTGGAGGGGGCTTGGAGCAGCCTGGTCTGGTGGGAGGTGTCCCTGCCCAGGGCAGGGGGGGTTGGAACTCAAAGATCTTTAAACTACCTTCCAACTCTAACCATTCTATGATTCTAACCAGCCTCAGTGGAGTTGTGGTGGATGTGGCCACAAGCCAGCTGGGTTTTCTTCTGACTCAGCAGACAGTTGGCTCTCACATAGCTGCCAGAGACCTTTCCTGTGAAACTCTGCCAGGAAGCTGTCCTGTGAAACCAACCCTTTTGAAGCCACACATTCAAGTGTGTGGTTGATTGGGAGCATGAACTAAATTCCTTCCTCTACCTATCTGAACTCCGCTGTCTCCGATGGAGATTGGATTCCTTTTTCTCCTTAACTGGAAGGCTTGGGGGTACTTTACCCCCATGTAAAGTAATTACCCCCATTTAATAAGCACAGTTGCTTATTTCCATTAAATATGTAAGAACATTTTTGTGTATGCACAAATACTCTTTTACCTTTTTTTTTTCTTTGGTGTTTCCTGCAATTAGCACCAATAATTCAGTGGTGCTCCAGCTTCCATTTGCAGGTCAAAACCTCCCTGAGCCCACCCAAATCCTGAGGAAAGGCATGTGTTCTTAGTGAAAACATGAATGTTTTAATTTCATTTTATACACATCTGCAATTCACACACGTTACATCAGAGCTTCAGTGTTACTCAGCATTTTGTTAAATGGTTTCTGGCCATGTGCTGTTAGTGTGTGTGTAAAACTTTGGTCTTGGCACAAATATTTCTGGAATATGGTTAATAAAGGCAGCTTTTAGGAAAAAATGTTAGAAGGCAACAATAGAAGGGAACAGCCTACTGCCTATGGATAAATGTGTTATTGTAACGGAATTGAGAGAAATTGCTACTGGGCATGGGACAGTGCCATAAGGTAAGAAGCGATCATGTGTAATGACTGAGGAGGTCTCAGACTTGCATCCTTGTCCGCTTAGCAAACTGAAGCTGGTCAGGACCCCTTGAGGTTTCTCCCCCCGCGCCTCTGAGTCAAGTTGATCTCGTACTCATCAGTGCCCAGAATTTTGTTGAAGCAGAAAAAGGTAGAGCTTTTGCCCCTGTGAGGGTGGTGGAAGGAAAAGGGGGTGTTGACTCTGTTCTGGGCTAAGCTTCTTTGCTCAGGATGGAGTTCCTGGACTCTGATTCCTCCATCTGCTGGTGCTTTCTGAAATGAGAGGGGGATGGCTCGTGGATACTCCACGGAAGAGATTTCATGGGGGTGCAGCCAGCAAGGCCGAAGGAGGAGCTTTGCTGCTCAGTGCAGCAATCCCCTAGGGAATTTCCTCCCCTCCTCTCCCACTGTTGCTCCATGGGGCAGAAAGGGCCTCACCTGCGTCTCCACACCCAAAGCGCTGTGATGGCAGCCACAGCCACAGCTGCCAGCAGCCCAGCCCCAAGCCCTGCAATCAGCACCACCTCTGAGTTCCCTGAGAAACACAAGCAGAGGCTGCCATGAACTTTCCTGGATTTGCTCCATTCTGCAGGGCAGGGCAGTTCAGGAGCCCCGTCCCTGTTCCCATGGATGGCACCTACCCCATGGGATGAGGAGGCTGTGGGTGCCCAGGCTGCGGTGGCGCACACGGCAGGCGTAGCTGTGCCCATCATGGGGGGCCACAGCCAGGACGCTGCGGAGCTGGTAGGTGAGGTCAGCGTTGGGCAGGATGGCACTGGTGTTGAGGGCCGGGCCCGGTGGCACCTCCTGGCCATCCCGCAGCCAGGACACGCTGATGGGCCGTGGGTAGAAGCCGGTGACATGGCAAACCAGGAGGAGCTGGTCTGGTCTGGGCGTGCGGGCGAAGACCGTGGCCACGGGCAACACTGGGATGTGAGAGCAAAAGGGGTAGGAGGAGCCCCGGTGGGGCACTGCTTGTCCCCAGTGTTGGGGAGGCTTTGGGGTGGCCATGCCAGGATCAGGGTGGTCTCACCTTGTCTCTCCAGAGCTGCCTTCCCATAGTGCAGTAACACCTCCATATCATCAACACAGGTATCATTGAAGAGGACTTCCACCATCTCACTGAAGGCGGTATAGTTCTGGAGAACAGCCTGGACATACCTTGACAGGTTAGTATCTCGGAAGGGGACCCAAGTAGCATTGGCCGTGTTGAAGCTGAGGAAGTCCTGGCCATTGTAGGCCACATAGGCGAAGACCCGGGAGGTCCTGTTGGGGTAGAGCTCACAGCCTGCCATGCATTGGGCCACAAAAGGGTCTAGAGGAGCAGAGAGGAGAAAGAAGTTGAATGAGGGGCTGAGACTGCCTTCCTGTGGACAAGATCAGTGCCTTCTGTCTAGTGTTGGGTCCTTCCCTACTTTCCAGATCCTTTTTAAAGAGGGAAGAGAAGAGACCCACAGAGAAGAGCGGGTACTCACAGGGCACTTTCTTCTCCATGGCACCTTCATTGATCAAGTGACTGAACTGCTGCAAATAGATCCTGATCATGTTCTGAATGGTGTCCCAGTCACTGCGGGGCAGGGCTGGGCGCACCCAGGGCTGGTAGAAGCGGATGGTCCAGGTGTGCTTATCAATAGAACCAAGCTCGATGTCTTCCAGCAGACCCAGCCCCTCAGTTTCCACCCAGGAGGTGTTTTGGAAGGTGGAGGTCTGGAGCAGCCGGATAGTGAACGACCCTACATGAGACAGGGGTTGACAGGGGGAGACAGGAGTGGGAGGAGAGGGATGGGGAAAGTGGAGGAGCTGAGGGACAGGTCCTTGAGGTTGCAGGGACCTATGGGCCCCAGTAAGCCCCCTGCATTTGTAGCTCCCACCCCCTGCACCCAGCTGGGGTGACTGCATCCCCACCAGGGAGGAGCTGTGGAGCAAGGGGACAAGGAGGGGTGAGGAGGCAAGTGCCCATGGCAGACGGGGAGCAAGAAGCCCCTCAGCCATGGGGTCCCACGAGGGCATGATAGAAGATGTGGATGGGCCAGGGCTTCCACTTACCCTTCAAGTCTGCCCATGTCCCGGAGAGGAGGATAAGGTGGAGGAGAAGAAGAAGGAGGCAGCGATGAGGGGGCTGCATGGTGTCAACAGCGAGCCCCAGGTGTGCAATAGTGGGTGCAGCACAGGAGGAATGGGCTGTGAGAGATGCAGCCACACACTTCTTGTCAGAGTGGCTCTGCCTGGGCAGCTCCACTGCTGCTAGTGGCCCTGGCAGCCAATGGGGCTGGCACTGAGGTTTTGGGGAGGGCCTGAGCCTCGTGCTGGGGTTGGGCTGGGCCGGGACACCCTAAATATAGCTGTGAGTGCTGGGGAATTTGGGTGGGAGCAAGGACATCCCACTGGCTGCAACCAACCGGTTTGAGCTGGTTCATACCGGTTCGAACCGGTTTCAACCGGTTCGTACGGCATTGAACGGGTTCCAACCGTTTTGATGTGGTTGGTACTGGTTTGAGACGTTTTCAACCGGTTCGAATGATTTCGTACCGGTTTCAACCGGTTAGAACTGGTTCGAGCTGGCTCTAATTGGTTTGAACTGGATTGAACCTGTTCCATCTGGTTTGAGCCGGTTTCAATTGGTTCGTACCGCTGTGAACCCGTTTGTAATGGTTTGAACTGGTTCGTACCAGTTGGAACCAGATTGAACCGGTCTGAGCCGGATTGAACCGGTTCCAACCGGTTCATACCGGTCTGAACTGGTCCGTACCGATTTGAACCATTTCGAAACTGGCAAATCATGGCATAGACAAGTGTACCCTCTGCTGGATAAAAAACTGGCTGGATGGCCGTGCCCAGCGAGTTGTGATTAATGGAGTAAAATCTGGTTGGCGAACGGTCACCAGTGGTGTCCCTCAGGGCTCAGTTTTGGGGCCAGTCTTGTTCAATATCTTTATTGATGATCTAGACAAGGGGATTGAGTGCACCCTCAGTAAGTTTGCAGATGACACCAAACTAGGTGGGAGTGTTGATCTGCTTGAGGGTAGGAAGGCTCTACAGAGGGATCTAGACAGATTGGATCATTGGGCCAGGGCCAATGGGATGAGGTTTAATAAGGCCAAGTGCCGGGTCCTGCATTTTGGTCACAACAGCCCCAGGCAACGCTATAGGCTGGGGCAGAGTGGCTGGAGCTGCCCAGCAGAAAAGGACCTGGGGGTGTTGGTGGACAGCCAGCTGAACATGAGCCAGCAGTGTGCCCAGGTGGCCAAGAGGGCCAATGGCATCCTGGCCTGTGTCAGGAATAGTGCCCAAGTTTATAGGTTTGCGGTGGGGTTTAGTATGTGGGGTTGTGGGTGTGGGGTTTAGTTGGTGGGTGGTGGTTTTGTGTTTGTTGTTTTTGTGGTGGTTGTGTGGTTTTGGTTTTTTGTTTTGTTTTGTTTTGTTTTTGTGGTTAGACTCGATGATCTCGGAGATCCCTTCCAACCACTAAGATTCTGTGATTCTGTGAACTGGTCCGTACCGGTTTCAACTGGTTCGAACCATCTGTACCGCATTCAGCCTGTTTGTATACTGGATTGAACCGGTTCCAACCAGTTTGAGCCAATTGTTCCGGTTTGAGCCGGTTTCAACTGGTTAGAACCGGTTCATACTGGTTTCAATGGGTTAGAACCGGTTCGAGCCGGTTTGAACCAATTTGAATGGGATTGTACCGGTTCCAACCGGTTTGAGCCAGTTTGTACCGGTTTCAACCAGTTTGTACCGGTCTGAACCAGTTCAAGCCGGATTGAACCAGTTCCAACCGGTTTGAGCCAGTTCATACTGGTCCATACCGGTTTCAACCAGTTCGAACCGGTCCGTACCAGATTGAACCAGTTAGTACCGGTTCCAACCGGTGTGAGCCGGTTGGTACCAGTTTGATCCAGTTGGTACCGGTTTGAACCGGTTGGTACCAGTCTGAACCGGTTCGTACTGGTTTCAACCAGTTAGAGGTGGTTTAAATTGGATTGAACCGGTTCCAACCGGTTTGTAAAGGTCTGAACCGCTTCGTACCGGTTTCATCCGGTTCTAAACGGTTTGAACCGGTCTGAACCGGTCCGTATTGGCTTGAACTGGTCCATACTGGTTCGTACTGGATTGAACTGGTTCCAACCAGTTTGAGCCGGATTGAGCCAGTTGGTACCGGTTTGAGCCGATTTCAACCGGTTCATACTGGTTTCAATGGCGTAGAACCGGTTTGAACGGGATTGAACCAGTTTCAAACGGTTCAAACCGACCCATACTGGATTGAACCAGTTAGTACCAGTTCCAACCGTTTTGAGTTGGTTTGAGCCGGTTGGTACCAGTTTGAGCCGGTTTCATCCAGTTAGAACCAGTTTGTACCGGTTTCAACCAGTTAGAACCGGTTCGAGCCGGATTTAAGCAGTTTGAATCGATTACAACTGGTTTGAACCGGTTGGTACCGGTTTGAGCCAGTTGGTACCGGACTGAACCGGTTCGTAATGGTTTCAACTGGTTAGAACCGGATTGAACCGGTTCAAACCAGTTCGTAACAATCTGAACCGGTTCGTACCGGTCTAAACCGTATCGGTTTGTACTGGATCAAACCAGTTAGAACCAGTTCCATCCGGTTTGAGCTGGTTTAACCTATTGGTACCGATTGTAGCCGGTTGGTACTGGTCTGAACCAGTTCATACCGGTTAGAACCAGTTGGTACCGGTCTGAACTGGTTCGAGCCAGTCCATAACTACCAGTTCGAACCGGTCCGTACCAGTTTCAACTGTCTCGTACCGCATTGAACCGGTTCCAACCGGTTTGATCCGGTTGGTACTAGTTTGAGCCGGTTTCAACCGGTTCGAACCAGTTCGTACTGGTTTCAACCGGTTGGTACTAGTTTGAGCCGGTTCTAATTGGATTGAACCGGTTCCAACTGGTTCGAACCGGTTTGAACTGGTTCGTACCAGTCTGAACTTGTTTGTAATGGTTTAACTGCTTTGAACTGGTTCGTACCAGTTGGAACCGGATTGAATTGGTCTGAGCCAGTTTGTACCGGATTGAACAGGTCCATGCGGTCTGGACTGATTCGTACCAGTTTCAAATGGTTTGAACCGGTTCCATCCGGTTTGAGCCAGTTCGAACTGCTTCGTACCAGTCTGAACCAGTTCGTACAGGTCTGAGCCAGTTTGAACCGGATTGAACCGGTTCCAACCGGTCTGAACTGGTCCGTATTGGTTTGAACCGGTTCAAACCGGTCCGTACCACTTTCAACCGGTTCGAACCGTCTGTACCGCATTCAACCTGTTCGTACTGGATTAAACCGGTTCAAACCAGTTTGAGCCGGTTCAAGCCGGTTGGTACTGGTTCGAGCCAGTTTCAACCGGTTAGAACTGGTTCATACTGGTTTCAATGGGTTAGAACCGGTTCGAGCCAGTTTGAACCAGTTCAAACAGGATTGAACCGGTTCCAACCGGTTTGAGCCGGTTCATACCGGTTTGAGCCAGTTGGTACCAGTCTGAACCAGTTCATACCAGTCTCAACCAGTTAGAACCGGTTTGAACCGGTTCCAACCGGTTTGTAACGATCTGAACCGGTTCGTACCGGTTTCATCCGGTTCAAACCGGTTTCAACCAGTTCGAACCGGTCCGTACCGGTTTGAACCGGTTCCAACCAGTCTGAGATGGTTTAACCTATTGGTACCGGTTGTAGCCGGTTGATACCAGTCTGAACTGGTTCGTACTGGTTTCAACTGGTTTGAGCTGATTTGAACCAGTACATATCAGTTTCAACCGGTTCGAACCATCTGTACCGCATTCAACATGTTCGTATACTGGATTGAACCGGTTCCAACCAGTTTGAGCCGGTTTGAGCCGGTTTCAAAAGGTTAGAACCGGTTCATACTGATTTCAATGGGTTAGAACTGGTTCGAATCGGTTTGAACCAATTTGAATGGGATTGTACCGGTTCCAACCGGTTTGAGCCAGTTCGTACTGTTTTCAACCAGTTTGTCAGAACCGGTTTGAACCAGTTAGTACCGGTTCAACCGGTGTGAGCCAGTTCGAGCCAGTTGGTACCAGTTTGAACTGGTTTGTACCGGTTTCAACTGGTTAGAACCAGTTGGAACTGGTTTGAACCGGATTGAACCGGTTCCAACCGGTTTGAGCCGGTTTAAACCGATTCATATCGGTCCGAACTTCTTTGTACTGTTTTTATCTGGTTTGACCTGGTTCATAGCAGTTGGAACCCCTTCATACCAGTCTGAGCTGGTTCTTACCGGTCTGAACCAATTCACACTGGTTTCAACCGGTTAGAACCGTTTTGAACCAGATCGAACCGGTTCCAACCAATTTGAGCCGGTTCGAACCAGTCCGTACCGTTTTCAACCGGTTCGAACCAGTCCGTACCGGTTCGTACTGGCTTGAACCAGTTAGAACCGGTTGGTACTGGTTTGAGCCAGTTGGTACCAGTCCGAACCGGTTCGTACTGGTTTCAACCAGTTAGAGCCGGTTTGAATCGGATTGAACCAGTCCGTATTGGCTTGAACCGGTTCAAACTGGTCCATACCGGTTCGTACTGGAGTGAACCAGTTCCAACTGGTTTGAACCGGTTCATACCAGTTTGTACCGGTTTCAGCCGGTTCGAACCGGTTGGGACTGGATTAAACCAGTTAGTACCAGTTCCAACTGTTTTGAGCCGGTTTGAACTGGTTGGTACCAGTTTGAGCCAGTTTCAACCGGTTCGAACC